TTTTTTCCGCTTTTTGAACTTAATCATCTTATTTATTCAGAGGTGTAAATGCGCAAGATTTGTTTAATACGTAAGATTACGGCTAAGTCCTATACTGCGTTATTAGGCAAAATGTTCATTAATGGTAAGCTCCCTCAGACAAGTTTATTAAAAGCTTAGATTTGCCTGATAAGCTGTATTTTCTGCAAAGTCAAATGTGATCCAAGTCTCAAATTTAGCAATAATCTTAAGCAGAACTGGCGAACAATAGCTCTAGTTGAAAAATACTGTTACTGGATTCAACCCAGTTTTGATAAATGTTTCAGTTCATTCCTGTTTACCTACTGGAAGATTTGTAACGATAAAACCGTGAATATTTTGCTGTAACATTTTGCCAACTTTTCAAACATCTTTTCACCTTATTGTCGTTCTTTACAGCACCATCGTCTCGTATCACACCTATCAGCATTCTCCCTGGGGCACCTTGTACGATTAGTTCCCCCAAAAATTGTTTAAATGATACTATTCCGGGGTGCAACTGCTCGGAGTTTTCATTTTGTGCCTCATCGTCCTCTTTTCGTTGCTTGAAAATTTGGGTTTGTCATTACAGAATAAATTGCTGAATGGCCTGAGATACCAGAAAAAGTGGCAGTATTCACCGAAAAGTCGTGAAACGAGAGTATTGCTTTGACTGGTTTTTATAGCAAAGTTCTGCCACTACATCTTCTTATCAAATCTGAGAGCCATCTGGCAAAGAATTTAACTGCTGGAGGAACTTCCAAGTAAATTTTTTAATGGATTTGCTGTAACAGAACATTTTAGAGTTTGCTGTTAATTTTTTACCTTATTTTGAAATACGCCGTTCCCGTCCGTATTTGCTGCTAAATACTCCTTCACTTTTTTAAGGTCCCAAGAGAAGGCTATTTTCATTGCTGTCATCTAAAACAAGAGTAGGAGCTTTTTGTAGGCTTGAGCGATTAGTTTTAACAGGATCAATGTTTAACTATGGCTACACCAAAAACCTACACTTTTTATTTCTACCAGAATGAAGTCAGCAGGATTGAAGGAAACAAACAAAATATCGAGCTAAATTACAATTTTTGCAATAGTAAGCTGTGAAACTGAACTTTAAATGTTTAGTAAACCAGTAAGTTGTTAGTCTGTTCAAGCGGTACCTTAACGTACAATAAAAACTTATGGACCATTTTCGATGAAAATAGAGCAAAGAGGACTCTGAGCACAAGTTTTTAAAAACTGCATTTCCTAAACAGCTTTGACGTGTCACTACCTTTTTTCCATTTTTTGCGTTAGCATCGGCTCCATTTTCCACCAAATATTTGATCACATCAACACGTTCCATTAATGTTGCAATTGACAGTGCAGTTTCCTGAATCAAAAGCGGGGCTAGTCAAAGCTTCAAGACAGTGCAAAATAAGATCCAATGAGGGACAATGAAAGGTTTTCCACTTTATAACAAATCGCTTTAAAGAAAGAGCTACTGCAAGTGGAAAAAGGAATTGCAAAAAGACTTGGTTTTATAAGCTTTTGCCTTTTGTGATAAAGAATTTTTGCTCTCTGAAATACATTCCGTTAATTAGGTTTAAACCGCTGCGCTTTTGGGATATAGCTGGTCAGATAATTTTGTAGCCGTTTCAGATGCGAGAAAGCGAAGTTCGTCCCAGCTTTATGGTAGTGCCATTCTTGAAATAACAAAATGAAAACACGTCATAGAAGAGAACCAGAGTCAGCCAGTCTCGTTAACATTCTGAAAGCTTATTTGCTGCTTCGGCCTGTTAATGCGTCGTACGGTTCATATTTCATACACCTCCGTTTAAAGAGTACGTGACAGCAAATATTGCCAAAACCTCAGAACATAGCACAGTGTAGTCACAAGCGAAGAAAGTGAGTGACTTCCGGAAGCTGATGGAGCTGCGAAATTCCAGCGATCGATGTCACTGCTATTTTGTACCTATCGCTGCTGAACTGAACTGAATGAGTGATTTCCTCTTCTGTCTTTGTTTTCCCCGTCACGCGACTTTCGCATGATCCAAGTTAAGCAAATATGATTGGCTTAATCACCCTTAATGTTGCGGTGGAGGATTTACCAGAGCAGATTAGAAAACCGCAGTCGGTAATCAAAAAAGATGATGAAAACTTTTTTTATTATATTTTTACCCTTTTTTCTAGTCTTTTTCTTTCAACATACCAAAAAAGCGCGACCTTTTTTCTTGCTCTAATCTATACTGGTTAGCGTTTATAAAATAGGAGTAAAATTCTAACTAAAAGTACACCGAAGTCGTTTGAATTGTAAATAATAAATTTACTGCTTCCATACAGAAAAGAAAGTTAAAGGTTCGTATTATAGGTTCCTGCTTATTCTCGTAATAAGTATGGCTTACTTTGAAAAATTTAAAGCATTTTTGATTTTGAATATCATAGATTTGCAAGTTCTTTGTCTCTGATTCCAAAATAACTTAATTTATAAAGTTTATGAAAAGAAACTATAATTTTTAATTCTACGCCACATTCGCGGGTACTATTGTGTTTATCAGAAGCTTTTTAACTTCAGTAAACCTTTCTTTGAGTGCCTGTTAAATTCCTTCTATTCCCTCCACTCTTGTCCTCATTACAAATTTTTCGTTAAATGATCAACCTTTTTGCTGGTTCAGCAAAACTTATACTTCCGATTATGCTGAAGTTGTTTTTATAGTGATAAGGGAGTTATCTAACGGGGAATGGAGCTTTTAGCGGAGAGGAGTGCTTATTCATTTGTGTACAAACTGTGATTATCTTAACATATCTTAAAAGATTTTTCAAATTCATTTCTAGACGGTTTGAGTAAGAAAAAATCAAATGAAAATGTTTTGACATTGCAAGCCTAAGACAAAGTGAAGATTCAAATCAAACTCTACCCCTTTCATGTTCTTGATATTAATGTTGGCTTCGTTTTCCACCAGGTGTCTGACCACGTTAATGTGCCCGGCCATTGATGCGATGATTAATGGAGTATTCTGAAGCAAGAGCAAAACTACTAGAAAATTTTACAAAGTTTTGCCATTTTCAGTAAAAAATATGATAAATCAAATAAATCTACTAAAAGAAGGTGATATGAAGTTAAGCAAAAGAGGAAATTTTTCAATTTTTTTTTTTTTTTTTTTTTTTTTTT